AGATGACAGACACTTCACATGAGTGTGGGTCATTTATTTACAATCAATGATGCATAAACCTGAAACTAAGTTAAATAAAACTATTATGTTCAAAAGTTTAACTTATATACTTAACTTTAAGAGTATTTAAGTACCTTTAAAGCCAGGCAGAATGGTTTAAAATATAGTAATTTATTTCTTAAAATTGTTAATATCCCACAGTATTAGAAAAAAATAATGCTGGGACAGTTTTTTTAAAATACTCTGCTTCTCATAGCACATGAACACAGACAACAATGTGCTGAAGACCTAGGGGAAGCGGGGGCAGGGTAGGAGAGGCAAAGGGGGTGAACTGAGGGACATCTGTAATAGAGTCAACAATAAAAAAAATTATCTGCTTCGGAATTTCTCCAATTTCTCAAATGATGAAAAACCTACATTTACTGTGTTCATAAATAAAATTATAGAAAGAAAATGTTTAATGACACAAACTAAAAAAATAAAAAGAACAATAAATAAAATTATAGAAACATAATAGCAACTTATTTGTTTATAAACTTCCCCAAAGAAAAATAGTAAAAAAGAAAAGATTTTTTTAAATCGCCTTTAAAATTATGGTAGTCCCAGTTCTGAATCTAAGTTGCTAGATTCTAAGTTTTTCTCCTTCCTGTATTAATAAATATTTGGACTTGAATCATATGACTGGCTGTAATTCCTCTAATTGTATATGCTGGAGACAAAAGAAGGGCTTGCAGGGCACTCCTAAATATCATTTTTAAGAGAGAACTAAGATATAAGATACAAAGGGGGGACAAGTTGAAACAAAAAAGCAAGATCAACTAAATTCTTCAAGAAGAAAATTTACAATGGGACTTGTTTTAGTTTGCTCGACTCAGCCTTCTTTAAGTTGCCAAGGACACAGCAGCACAGATCTTTCCTCCTCCTCACCCTGTATTGGTCTCCAGAGTAAGTCTGGTGAGCTGTGACAGCACCAACCAGAAGCAAAGGGCCTTGAAAGATTGTAAGGTCATAACAAGAACCAAGAAAAGAAAACCTAAATAAACAAGAGGGAGAAAAAACCACACAGCTTGCTGAATTTTCTATCCAAGGCATGCTTCTCATTGGTGGATTGATCATGCTAATCATTGGTGGATTTTTCTACCAATGATTAGCCTGATAGAACTTGGCTGTTTCTGATTATAGAAGTGTTAACACAGGGAGGAAATTTTTATTTAAAAAAAGTTTTATAGTAAATTAAATTTTATTACTATTCTTAAACAGAAAACCAGTAAAGCTTAAATAAGTAGTTTTTAATGTAAAGTCAAATCAAGTGGCATTCATGGATGCCTCACTACATTTCTTTAAGAAATCATGTAAGTGAATTAATTGTCTTTAGTCATTTATTATTTGAAAAAGTTTTAAGTGATATATCCTGAAACTAGTGTTGAAAAAGCAATTATATAACGGTTGAAAAACAAACATTTCTAGTGTGTTTAAGAATATTCAAAATTAACAAAAACAATAAATATTTTTAATTTATGAAATTGAATTAATTTATTATTTATAGCTTTTTAAATTATCTAACTCTAAGGCCCTTAAATTATTTAATATTCAAGTAAATATATTTAATATTTCTGTATGTTTTTAAAGACCATTTAAAGGTTTCTAAATTTCACTTTAACTGGTGAAATGTCTAGTGGGGTAAAAAACAGAGCAGGTAGATCTCAGAAAGTACTGGTGAAACAACATTTTAAAAAACGCTCTGCGTCTTTTATTTACTCAACTCTCTAAAATCTGGTTTTTCAAAGAAGTATACTAATCACACTTTTACTTAAGACCACTAATGAGCTCTCTTGTCTTTTATGCTGCATTTGATAGTATTGTATATTTACTCCTTAAAGTCTTTCCTCTCTTGTTTTTGGGGGGACCAATCTATTTACTCTCCTACATTTATGTATACTTTTTCTCAGTGTCCTAAATTAGCTTCTATCTTCTACTCATCCCTCATTTTTGTATTTCTCAAAAGTTTGGGCCTCTAACCATGTGCAGTGGAAACACCTGAGCTTCACTCCGGACCTACTGGTTCAGAACCCATGGATATAAGTTCCAAGACATCCGCCTTGTAACAAACTCCCCCAGGTGATTCAAGTGTGAGAATTACTGTTTTAAATATTGAGCGAGGCCCTGGCCTGTGTGGCTCGGTGGTTGAGTGTAGACCTATGAACCAGGAGGTTGCAGTTCAATTCCCGGTGGGGGCACATGCCTGAGCTGCAGGCTGGATCCCCAGTTTGGGATGTGCAGGAGGCAGATGATCAGTGATTCTCTCTCCCTCTCCCTTCCTCTCTGAAATCAATAAAAAAAATATATATTTTAAAAAATAAATGTTGACCCAGGAAATCCTTTCATTGGTCCTCTTCTACCTCCACCTGTTACACATGCACAATTAAAATTACATCGCAAATTTCCACTACTTACTGCTATCGATAGGATGTATAAGCTGCCACTTCCCCCTGTCAGCACCTATAATTGCACCTGACGCAAAGAATATTTGTTTGATGAACACGAAGACTCTCAAACCTGCTTTGTCAAGCAAGATCTATCCTTTTTAGGCTCCATACCTGCATATGAAGCTCTCCAATGGACATGTCCACCTGGACGTCCTAAAGCTACCCTGAATCAGTTAGGATTCAGTTCACCTAACAGTAACAGAAAAACCTAAAAGAATTGAGGTTATATAACATAGAAGTTTAGTTCTCTCAGGTAATAGTCTGAAACAGGCCAGTATGAAAATGTTGCTCCACAAAGTTCACAGAGACTCTGACTCCTTTCTACTTTCCACTCCACTATGCCTACAATATGGTCCCCATTTCATGGTCCGAGACAGAGCTTCACCCAAAACAACCACATCTCTAGCAGCAGGATAGAGCAGGAGGAAGAAAGACAGATGGGTACATTCATCTCTCTGTAATACACCTCCTGGAAGTAGAACACACTACCTGTACTTTTATTCCATTGACCAGGACTTAACCTAATGATCATATCTAATTGCTCGAGTGGCTGTAACTGTAGTCTTTATGTTAGGCAGCCAACTTGTATTACTAAGAAAAAAAGGAAGACCAGATACTGGAGGACAACAGCATTTGTAGCCACACATTCCAAAGTCACTGTGTCACAAACTGAACTCATCAGTTTTCAAGATAAACTGTGTAATTTTAACCTTTGTGATGTGTCTACTCTACCTTTATCTCTATTTCCCTTACACTCTTTCTCCTCTCAATAGTCTTATCATGTGTCTTTTTGTGAAGCTTTTCTTTAACCAACCACTTTTACCTCCAGCCTAAACAGACTGGATGTCTTTGAACCAACTTCATATCTAGCATACATCTCTATTTTTACATTTTTAATTCTATATCATATTTTTAAATCTATCCCTCCATCATCCCTCTCCCAATAGAAAGCAAACTTCTTGAGGACAGAGACTATGCCTCATTTATCTTAGTATCACATGCATATAGATCCGTATCATACTAAATTTTACAAAAATCAATCACTAATGTCTGCTTCATACAATTATGGCAGTAAGAAACTGTTAAGAGTTGTCTAATAAAAAGAACATCATGGTATGTAGTATTGTGTTAAAGACACAAATTACAAAAAATTCCTCCCTTATCTGTGGTTTGCTTTCCATGGCTTCAATTACACATGGTCAACTCTAGCCCAAAAATATTAAATAGAAAATTCCAAAATAAACAATTCATATGCTTTAAATCATGTGCCATTCTAAGTAGCATGATAAAATCTCACTTCATCCTACTCCTACACAACCAGGACATGAATCATCCCCTTGTCCAGCATCTCCATGCTATATACGCTACCCACCATTAGTCACTTAGTAGCCATCTCAGTTACCAGATCCACTGCCATGGTATCACAGTGCTTGTGTTCAAGTTACCTTTATTCTACTTAATAATAGCCCCAAAATGCAAGAGTAGTGATGCTGGAAATTCAGATATGCCAAAGAGAAGCCAGAAAGTATATGTATATATAGGAAAAAACATAGAATATATAGAGTTCGGCAGTATCCAAGGTTTTAGATACCCACTGGGAGTTTTGGAACATATTCCCTACAGGTAAGAAAGGACTAATGTAATACGGCTACATGTGCTTACCTCTACTCCCTTCCTCCACACAGCTTACCTACTAATTTTCTACATCCATTTTTCTCTTTTTCTAGTATAAATAAATTTAGTGAGGTAAATGTTAAGTATGTTTACATTTGATTCCACTAATAAGTTTGTATTTAACTTAGGCCAATGAATGGGTTATGTGCATGGACCCATCTTAAATCTCAGCAGCTATTCCATTCTCAGAAAACCAGGTTAGGCATGTCTACGCCCTTGGAAGAGTCACCAAAAAAGTCCAATGTTTTGATGACTTTTCTCTTAAAGAAAATATCCAGAAAATCATAGTATTCAACTTATGAAACACAACATCACAACTGATAAACCCATGACTAAAATAACATACTAATCTATGATGGCTTCCATAGGGTCAAAATGTTCACTGATGTGTAGATTTTACTTAAGACTATCAAAGTATCAATTTAATTGTAACATGACCAAAATCATGTAAAACATGTATGTAATAATTGTTATGCTCAACCTTTTAAATTCTATCTTCTAGATATAAACAATGGAATACCATGTGTAATTTTAAGTTTAATATCAACTATAAAGGAAACTAAGTACCCCAAAGTGCTTATAGCAGCGAGGCTTCAATGGTCCAAGAATAGTTCCAGCTTTGCCCATATCTCCAGTGTAGACTGTCAATTCAGACTATGATACTGGGTTGGCCCTCAATAATTCTAATCACAGTCTTCTTTTATCTCCAGTTCTCTAGCCTGGACAGTGCCCTCATTGTTCTGCCTGTGGCTCCAGTGGGTATGAAATGCTAACCTCAATGCCAATAGCAGTTATATATATTTTTAATAAAATAAAAGAAGATGTAGTTACTTATCTTACCATTGGCTCCTGGTGGTTGCAATACATCTCCTGCCAGACGACACCACCCAACTGGGAAAATATCTCGGCAATAGTATTTGCACCAGTAATCGAAAGCTCCACTCCAGCCATCAAATGTGATATGAACTTCGTCTCCTCTAACACCTCCAATAGTTGCAGGACATATCATATCCGGATTCTTTTTGTCTACAGCTTCTAGTTTCATCCCCACTTTAAAGTTATTTAGAGGTGGCTTTGGTGGTTCCTATCAAAACATTTAAAAAGTTTTCATTGTTTAGATATATTAAGAAGCATTTGCTCAATTGATTCTTAAAACCTGTAGCAACCAAAAATTGAGTTCTATGCTTATCAACTAAAATACAGGAAAAAAACAGTTCTTAGAAATCACTCTGCAGCCCTGTTCTACAACATCGCACTTACTCTGAAGCAGAGCCAAGAACCTGGAAGGAAACAAAACCAGCGTGACAGTAATTTAGACATTCATTTACTCATTCATTCAAGAAATATATATATGTATACTATGTACCAAGAATTCAGGATTTATTGGTAAACAAAAATATCAAAGATACCTGCTCTGATAGAGCTTAAATTCTAGTGGTGGTAGTAATAGGGTTAGGGGCTGAATGGGGGCAAAAGGGAGAAGAAATCAAAAAGAAAGTTTAAAAGAGGGAGTCAAACAAATAAATAAAAATTATAGGTGGTAAATCTATAGAGAAGGCAGACACAAGAACATGAAAGTCATATATATCATATATTCATAATATATTGGATATATATGATAACCAATCCAGAATACTTTAAAAAGTATGCCTTAGTTTCAAAAGTTAAAGCATGCAAATGCTAACAGGATTCTTAGAAAGCCCAAGTGCTCTGTTGAAAGCAACATCTTTTCTTTCAATTTGAATTTTATCCTAGTAAATGGCACCATCAGCTCCCTAATCATCCAAGCCAGAAGCCTGGAAATAATTCTAGACCAGTGGTTCTCAGTCCAACTGAACATTAGACTCACCTGATGGCCACACCACAAGAGAAAGTATTAAACTGGTCTTGGGTGGGGCCCAAGCATCAGCACCTTTTAATTTCCCAGGTGATTCTAATGTCCATTCAAGGCTGAGAACCACTGCCCTGAAGACATCCTTTCCCATTAAAACTCACGTTCAAAGACCACAACCTGCCAATTCTACCCTCTAGAGCTCTACAAAACTAACATTAAAAGCTAACCTTCAATTAGTTAGTATATGCCAAGACACTGTTTTCTATATGTTAATTTAATTCTCCCAATACCCTATATGAAGTCAGTGAAATTATTATCCTCATTTTACAGGTGATAAAACTTATGCACAACTGCCTAAGAATACAACATAATACATAATATCAGAGCTAGATTTTAAACCTAGGCAACTAACTCCTTGCAACACCCTACCCCATCATCTGCCTGGCCAACTAACTCCAACTCATCCACTTCCAAATCACAGTTCTCTTGGTCTCTTAAGGCTTCTATGACCAACTCCTGCCCACTCCTAGGCCCACCTCAGAGGCACTCTTGCCTTCAATTGTGAAACTACTGTTGGAATGTGTTCACTCCTCTATGAGATGAATGGATTCTCAAAACAGGTACTACATCTTATTCAGGTTATTTCCAGCACAGGACCCAACAGCAAGCAGTTAAAAAAAATGAATGAACCAAGGAGTCACCTGAAGAACAGTAAACAAGCTCCCAACTAATTATTTCACCAAGATATAATTTAAGAAACATATCTGGTAGGTTGGTTCCTTTATAAAAAGTCTCTTTAAACCCATCTCATTATCCATATTTTCCCACTGTTATCCTTTATACCCTTGCAATTTGAAAACTCCTTAATTATTAGCCCTCAATGTCTTTTTTAATTACATATTTTTAATTTGATTCTTTAAAACCACCCTGAAAGTCAGCAGAACAAAAATTAGCTTGAGCAAATATCAAAATACTTAATAACTAAACAACTGGTAAGAAACAAGATTTACATATTGCCACTAAAGACCAATTATCTGTTACCTTATATGGGGTACAGGGGGGCATATTTAACAAAAGATAACTTGGTAGTTGATAAATTTATGCTGGACATTCACAGAATGCAGGAAACATTCAAGGCACACATAAGGTTCCCAGGACCTTAAAATGTCATATGACAGAATAAAAGGAAAAACTGTCTGTAGCAAAGCAAATTAAGTTCAAATGGCAGTACACACTTTTCTGCTATTTATTCTCTAAAGATTTTCATACTATTTATTAATTCTTCTAAATTTTATAAACTTACTTATCTATTTTACCTACATCAGCATACCCATACAAATAAATATTAACAGACTCTGAAAGAAAACAAATCTTTCTTTTAGATTTTTTAAATTGATTTTTAGAGGCAGAGGAAGGGAGAGGGAAAGAGAGAAAAACATCGATGTGAGAACAAACAGTGATCGACTGCTTCCTGCATGCACACCCCCCCACCCCCCGCCCCACCAGAGATCAAGCCCGCAACTCAGGCATGTGCCCTGACCAGGAATCGAACCAACAATCTTTTGGTGCACAGGGCAATGCCCAACAAAATGAGCCACACTAACCAGGACACAAATCTTTATTTTTGAAAAAGGAAACTGCTCTTTTTGTATAACATAGTAAATGAAAGGGCTTTATCTCAAAATAAGGTACCTCCAGATTTAGATAATTAGCAAAATGGTTCCCTCTGCTGCCCATGAAAGGTAATGATAATGCTTTTAAATGATTTTAAAGAATATGCTTTGTCAACATTAGTTCTTGAATGACTTCCTAACATAAACATTTAATTTGCAGAAGCAATAGTAAAATAAACAAGGGGTCATTGTCTTTTACTGTGAGAAAAGTGATTCTGTTCAAGAAGGTGGCAGTAAAGAATGCTTTTTTAACCTCCTTCCTCACTTACCTACAATATGGTTCTACTTAAAGGATATTTCTTCCCAAACCCCACCAACTCTGAAGCCAATCTCAGTATTACCTGCATTAATCCTCTGCCTGAAATATTCTTACCCTTATAACCTCATGGTTCATTCTCTCCCTTTCTTCAGATATTTACTCAAATGGCACCTTTTCAGCAACACCTTCCTGACTAATCTATCTAAAATGTCACCCTCCCTTATCCTTAGTGTATATATAACTATGAAACATAATATATTCATACTTTATTTAGCATGGTTTGTTATACATTTCCCCAGCTAGAAGATAAGCTTCATAAAGGCAGGAAAGGTGTTTTTTACTCTTTTGTATAAAGCTGTATTCCCAGAGTCTACCTCTGACCACAAACTCCTATCCTTAAGTTCTACTTCTTACTTTTAATCAACTATTTATTTGACCTCATCAAGAAGTCTAGTCCTTTAACCTTCATTTATTCATTTACAAATATTTACTGAGTGACTACTACATGCCAGACATTACTGAAGGTTCTTGATATATATTAACTAGCAAAACAAATTTAAAAAAACACCCTTGTGGTGCTAGTAAAGAAAAAGATAAGATACCATGATAAAATAAGTAAAATATATTCTATGTTAGAAATAAGTGCTATGCAAAAAAAGAGAACAGAGAAGAATAAGGGCCAAAAGAACATTGTATAGGAAAGATTGTGTGATTTCAAATAGGGTGATCAGGACAACCCTCATACAGAAGGTGATAGTGAGCAGAAACCTGAAAAGAGGTGATTATTAACCATGCAGCTATGTAGAGGAAAAGTGTCCCAGGCAAAGAGAACATCCAGGGCCTAAAGCAGGAGATGTGTCTGAAATGTTTGAAAACAACAAAGAAGCAAGTATGGCTAAAATGTAGTCTGCCATACTGACAAACTTATACTTCATCCTGAGTACAACTGGTAACTTCAAAAGAGTTTCAAGCAGGGGAATGATGTGGTAAGGCTTCTGTGTCAGGTATTTCTAGCAGTTGTGTGGAAAGGTGAAGAACAGAGGCAGTCATATGACTGAACAGTCCAGGCAAGAGGAAAGCTTGTACAAGAGGCAATGGTGGTAAAGACACACAACAAAGAAATAATTAGGAAGCTAAGTTGATGGGCCTTTATAATTCATTGGCTATCCAGAGGCCATCAAGAAGGCGGAGTACCCACAAATCAGTACTAGTAAAAAAATAAATCTAATAGAAAAACAGGAAAAGGCAATAATCAGGCACGTTACTACAGAATAATAAAAGGCCATTAAACACATTTTAAAAGCTCAATGAAAATTATAACAAAGGGATACCATCCTTATCCCCAACTCCCAAAAAAAGATTCACAAAATTTTAAAAGATTGATAATATTCAATGTTAGTGAATGTGTGGAAATACAAACAGACCTACACACTAGTAGTGAAGCATAGCTTGGAACACCATTTTGGAATGCAATTTAATAGTATATATCAACACTTAAAGCATACATTCCTCTTGAACCAGCAATTCTATTTCTAAGAACATAGCTATTCATATATATATATATATATATATATATATATATATACACACACACACACACACACACACACACACACACACAAGAATGTTCACTACAGATGATTTAAACAAGAATATGGAGAGAACCTAAATATCCATCCTTAGGCAGAGGTTAAATCAATTATGGTAATCCATACCACAGAAGATTACCTGAAGTATATATGAAATGAAATGGAAAGAATTTCAAACTATACATAATTTAGGGGGAAAACTAAATCACAGAACAATATATACAATATATTCCAATTTGTTAAAAAAAAATAAGAGCACATATATGTTTGTGAATGCACAGAAAAAGGTCTGGAAGAACACAAATAAAACTTCAATATAGAGAGAAGAGTGGAATAGAGGAATGGACAGGATAAATACTCATTTTTCACTCTAGCTAAATGTATAGTTTGATTTTTTGCCCCCACACAAACATGAACTACTTTTATAATTCTTAAAATGAGCCAGGCCAGTGTATCTCAGTGGTTGAGCATCGACCTATGAACCATGAGGTCACAGTTCAATTCCAAGTCAGGGCACATGCCCAGGTTGAGGGCTTTATCCCCAGTGTGGGGTGTGCAGGAGGCAGCTGATTGATGATTCTCTTTCATTAATGATTTTTCTATCTCTTTCTCCCTCTCCCTTCCTCTGAAATCAATAAAAATATTTTTAAATGAAAAACAATGTGTATGACAAGTGGCTTGTCACTAGATGATAAACAATTTGATATGTAAATAGATTCAGTGGCTTTTCTAAAGCCACAACCCAAGCTAATAGGTGTTTAATAAAAACTACTGCTAGCCCTTATAGTGTGGTTAAATGGTTAGAGCGTCAGTCTGCACACCCAAGGATCTCGGGTTCAATTCCCAGTCAAGGGCACATCCCTGGGTTGCAGGTTCAATCCCCAGCCCCAGTCAGAGTGCATGTGGGAGTCAACTAATTGATGTGTCTCTATCACATCAATTTTTCTCTCTCTCTCTCTCTCCACCTCCCTCTGCTAAACATCTCGTTATTAGCTACTAGTGGCCCAGTGCACAAAATACGTGCACATTAAAAGGGGATTAGCTATTGTTACATATACTTTACATATTGACCAAAGGGCTTGCAGCATTTGCCTGTGTTCTTTCATGCTGCTCAAACCTGCACTCAAAAAAATTTTTTTTGCAATGCAGGAATCATATTTTTTGAGAGAAGTTTATTGATTTTTAGAGAGAAAGGGAGAGAGACATCAATGTGAAAGTTCAACATCAACTGGCTGCCTCCGGCACACCCTCTATTGGGGATCGTGCCCCCAAACCTAGGCATGTGCCTTGACCAGGAATCGAACCAGCAACCTCCCGGTACATGGGACAATGCCCAATCAATTGAGCCACACTGGCCAGGGCACAGGAGTCGTATTAATTGATGTGTCACATCCTTATGTCCTTAATCTTGTTGATATGAATAGTTGTAATAAAATTTAAGTGACTATGAAAACAATTAGGACAGCAGTTGAGAAAGAAATATTTGACCAATAATTTAAGTAAAACTTGGCTTTTATTCATTGTTTGCTAACATAGTGTACTCTTTCAACAATTTCTCAAGAACATAAACTAGTTTTGGAATTTTCCCTGTGTTATATAACAAGTATTTCCTTATAACAAATTCATTCTGATGACTTTTTAACATTCTTTTACTTCTAAAAAACAAATCTGAGTAACCTTCAAGTGGTTTTATTGGCCCATTATCATTTTCTTCAGTATCAAAGGGATGACTAACATAACTAAGTGAGGGGAAAGCTTCACTTATGAAAGTAAATAAAAAATAGCAATGAACATCTGCTTCCAGTGGAACACCCCTTTCATATCTAAGGTCAAGAAAGGGGGTACTAATTCATTTTGGCTAGTGGATGATTATAACAATAACTTTTTTGTTAAATAACTTGCTGTCATGGGCTGAATTGTGTGCTCCCATCAACTACAAACCAAGGAGAGAGGCCTCAAAGAAACCAAGCCTGACAACACCTTGACCTCAAACTTTTATCCTCTTGAGCTTTGAGAAAATAAATTTCTTTTGTTTAAGCTACTGTTAGGGGCTTACTGTGTCCTCCAAAAATTCATAAATTGAAGCCCTAACCCCCAATATGACTATTTAGGGCTAGAACCTTTAAAAAGGTAATAAAGGTTAAGTGAGGTCATAAGGCTGGGGACTGTTGTCCTTATAAGAAGAGAAAGAAAAAACAGAGATTCCTCTCCCTCTGTGCATGTCCAGAGAAGAGGCCATGTGAAAATACAACAGAAAGGCAGCCATCTATAAACCAAGGAGAAAGGCCTCACCAGAAACCAACCCCAATGGCACTTTAATATTGCACTTCTGACCTCCAGAACTGTGAAAAAAATAAGTTTATTTTGCTTAAGCCACCCGGTCTGTGGAACTTTGTTATGGCAGCCCTAGTAGACTAACAAATACACTTGCCAAACATTAAATTTAAAAATCATTTTTGCGTTTTCATGTTAGAGAAGACAAAATATTTAAGTATCCCATCCTATATAATAAAGATGTAATATGCAAATGGTCATTACATATAACGACTGGATCATGGATCAGCAGGAGGGTGGGGCAGCGAGCTACAACAGGAGAGGGCAGGGCAGTAAGCTATGAGGGGGCAGGGGGGACGGAGAGAGCTACAGGAGGGCGGGGCAGTGGAGGGGGAGGGGGTAGCTACAGGAGAGCAGGGCAGCGGGCGGAGAGCTACTGGAGGGTGGCAGCAAGCTACCGGGAAGCTACTGGTGCACGGGTTCCTATGCAGGGCTACTAGTTAAAAAAATAAAACCACAGCCCAGCTGATGGAAGTTCTTTTTTTTTCCTTTATTGATTACGGTATTACAAATGTATTCTTTTCCCCCCCATTGTCCCCCCCCCCCCAC